TATCTATCTATCTATCTATCTATCTATCTATCTATCTATCTATCTATCTAAAGTTATGGGCAACCTTTTTTAAAAACAAAAGGGGGAAGGGAGAGTTGGAAGGGGTCAACTTCAGTGAACGTACCTCAATCAGATTGAGGACGTTTTCAGCAAAGGCCGCCTTAGGAGTACCATAATTAAGTTAATAACAAAGTACCTACCTATATAGTTTAAGTTTAAAAAAATTGGCTCTCCAAAGAAATGTCAGTCGTAGTACTGTTGATATTTGGGTCTGTTGACTAATGAGATTGGATTCATACCCTGTTCTTCACTACCAAGAGGAATGTCAGATTGCCTGACAAGTTTCTCATGGACCTGAAACCCTCAGAAGCTGACACTATGCTGGTTACACTGACATCTAAGTTACCACTCAACTAAGCCCGGGGTTACAGGTTGTTGTGTTGTGCAGTTAAAAAGAAGAAGTTAAAAAAAAGAAGTTAAAAAGAAGAAGAGATTGGATTCAGCTGACATTTAACTTACCACTCTGGCCAGGCGGGGGTTAGTATGGGCTAGCCCAGAGTAACCCTCCGGGGTTATTCTAGGCTAGGCCAGAGTAACCCCAGGGTTACTCTGGCCGGGGGGTTAATCCGGCCTGTTACACCGGGGCTGATTCCCCATGGAAGTTTATTCCATTTCAGCAACTCCAGTCATGTGCATTTCCTTTCTTTATTTGGTTTCCACATGATGATGTCATCCTCCATTCCTGCACAAATTGTGAACAGCTGCTAAGAACTCCACTTTTATCACACCTGGAAAAATAGAAGATCCTTCCCAGCATGGCATTATTGGGATGATGTTTCTGAATGAAAGGAAACGTCCCCTTTCTCTGCACTTTCAGTGAACTGCTTTGCTGTCATTGCTCACACCAACAAAACTGAGATTTGTGTATTGGTGTGTGTGTGTTTGAGGACAATATCATTGTGCTGTTACTACATTAGGACAAATGTTTTTGTCTGCTCTCCAGATTAGCATTTGAAAACTTCAGGAAGTGCTATCTCTCCCCTCCCCCCCAGTGGGAGGCCCATTAGATGAGGAATCAGCTGGGAGTTGGCTTCTCATCTCCTGCTGGGGAAATTTTATTCTGCACCAAACTAACTTTTTGGGAGGAGCAGAATCCGGAGCAAAATCGCAGCTGATCACTGGGGTAAAAACCAGAACTTGGGTTCTTCTGATCTCCCATCCTGGAAACTTTGCTGCGTTCCAGGCTTTCTGAGATGCAGCAAATTTAGCAGAGTGGTGGTGGTGATCAAAAGCCCAGCTGATTTCCCTTTTCTTCTTCCCATCCACACTGTCAGCTGGAGCTGTCAAGACAAGGAGGAGATTTCACAGGAGATTCTTTTTCTCCTCATCTCAAGTTGTTGGCTTTGGCTGCAGAGGAAAGGAAAGAAACTCTCTCTCTTGCTTCTGAATGGGAAGATAAAAAGCATTGCTTCTGTACCCATCCACCCTGGCCCTGCTTAGAAAGAAGGAAGAGACATTATACTTTTCTCCTGTCCCTTCTCCAGAAGCTCATGCCTACTTGGCTTCTGATCTCCAACTTCAGTGTATGCCTATTTTTCTAATGGGGTGGTGGTGGATTAGAACACCTTTGAGTCAACTCCTTCCCAACAGCCACCTGCAAACACTTGTTCAATCGTTGTTTAAATTGCTCGATGCAGGCTGAACAGTCTGATCATGAGTGTTGTTGAACAAGAAATGTCAATGGCTGAACAGGTTTGCTATGAAATTTGAAGGACCCTTAAGTTTTACCTCCTTGGGCTCTAATGGTCCTAACATATTGTTTAGCCAGCTCCACATTCTCTTCTGTAGCTGGCAACAGAGATGGCTTCCATGCAGTGACATTGCTACTAAAGATTATTAAATTAAAGTGGTCTTCAGGATTTTGGTCTTCCAAAATTTTTTGTAGGGCCTCTTTGGTCTGTAAAAGAAATGAATATTACATAATATTCAGGCACATAATATCCAAGCATATATTCAATCAGCAGCCAATTTGGTTTAGTGGTTAGGAGTGCGACTCTAATCTGGGAGAACTGGGTTTGATTCCCCACTCTTCCACACACAGCTTCTAGTGAGACCTTGGGTCAGTTACAAGTTCTCTCAGAGCTGTTCTTTCAAGGGCAGTTCTTGGGAGAGCTCTCTCAGCCCCACCTGCCTCATAGGGTGTCTGTTGTGGGGAGGGGAGGGGAATGGAAAGTAGATTATAAGCCACTCTGAGACTCCTTCAGGTAGTAAAGGGCCGGGTATAAATCCAGTCTCTGGTTCTTCTTCTTCTTCTTCAGCCAAAGCCTAAAATGAAATCTGCAACACTCATGCCTAATATGTAATATATGGAGTAGATCCAACAATCCATCCGTGGAAGGAGTAAAGATTTTTGCTATATTCCTGCCAGCAGTCACCGCGCTGATTTCTGGGCTCAAACAGCCTGTGTGAATAATTTGGCACATGGGTTCAAGACTGCAGTGAGGAGGAGGAATGGGCAAAATAGCTCTTCCTCCTTCTTCTGCAAGTGCAACTCCACTGAATTAAGGCACCCACCCAACCCACAATGGTTTTCCTGCACACGGTCCTGCAACTCCAGGAATCAGCTTTCTGGAGATCAGAAGTGATGGCTGGGACAAGGGGAGCATGGTCAAAGCCCACCTTCTGTGTAAGAGTTTTCTGTATAGGAAAATTGTAATTCATGAATACAGTTGTCAAGTCTGGGTTGGGAAATTCCTGGAGATTTAGGGGTGGTGCCTGGGAAGGGCAGGTTTTTTGGGGGTGGGGAGGGGAGGGAGCTCAGCAGGGTACAATGCTGTAGAGTACACCCTCAAAAGCAGCCATTTTCTCCAAGGGAATGGATCTCTGTTGTCTGGAGAGCAGTTCGAATTCTGGAAAATCTCCAGGCCCCACCTGGAGGTTGGCAACCCTATGTGAAGTAGGCTTATAGGTGACCAACTTTTTACATGATAGATCACAGAACGTAATATGAACAGCTTCTGCAGTGTGAATCTCACTTTGGGTCAAGTTCATGACTCAGAACTACTATCAGACTTTGTTGTGAGATAATTTACCTGTTGTCCATCCTGAAATGTCCTTTGTGATGTCCATGAAAAAAATTATGACAAATTATGTTAACTCCTATCCTACAATAAGCATACTCTATCTCCATCAAATGACTAACGGGATAAAAATGTGATATTTACTGCGAATATGGAGGTGGAAACATGACGGTTTCTGCTCAGGCAAATTTAAGAAGAAGAAATTGGATTTAAACTCCACCCTTCACTACCCAAAGGAGTCTCAGAGAGGCTTACAATCTCCTTTCCCTCCCCCTCCCCACAGCAGACACCCTGTGAGGTAGGTGGGACTGAGAGCTCTGAGAGAACTGTCCTCGAGAGAACAGCTCTGAAAAAACTTATGACTGACCCAAGGTCACACCAGTAGCTGCATGTGAAGGAGTGGAGAATCAAACCCAGTTCTCCCAGACCAGTGTCTGTGCTCCTAACCACTACACAAAATTGGCTCTCAAAAAGAGATAGTGCAGCAATTCAGGCAGTTTACTGGTGTACCTACTGTCCCTATTGAGATGGTTCCCCCATATTGAGGTTAGAACAGTGGAGACAATGGCCCAATCTGCATTTGCTATGTGAAGCTGTTCCATGCTGCTGTGGCACCGGCTTCCCGTTTGGCTCAGTATAAAGCTCTCCTCTGTTTGCATCATGACGCAAGTTGTTTAGGGACAGCGTGCGAGAGAGAGGGGGGAGGAGTGGCCTCCCAGGGGCGCTGGCAGGGCATTGTGCTGCACTGTGAAAAGGAAACAGCACCCGTGACCCCCCTGCAGAAAGTAAAGGGGGGTGACCTGGCAGAGGGGAAAGTGGAGGGGGGGCAGGAAAGATGGGATGAGCTGGGTAAAAAACACAAAACACTCGATGGTTGCCAGGCAGGGCATGCTGGGGACTGCCCCAGGAAATAACAAATGATTCAGGGGTGGGTGTGCTTCCAACCACCACCACCCCCAAAAAAAGATGATGATAGAAAAATGTTGCCTGGCAGCTTTTAAATGCAGACAACTGGATTTTTAGCTAACTTGTTTTCTTTGTGACAATTTGTGTATCTCCTTGGAAATGATGGGGGGGGGGATTCGGCTCCAGTTGTCTGCTTTTTCCTCACAGCGGCTTGAGGGTGGGGAGGAGCAATTGTACCACCTTAAAACCAAATCAAGTTAAGACGGTGAGACACCGTAGTGACCTCGGAGTCACCACCAAATGGCAATAAAATGATGCAGACAGTCGATGCTGAGATGAAACAATAGGAGAGTGGATGCAGCATGAGACGCAGACAGAAATTTGTAAGACGATGTGAGATTGTTGGCACAATGGTGGGAAAGACCATTGCAGATTGGACTAATGTAGCCACCTTGAGCCATGAGGAAAAGCAGCATATAAATGCTTTAATTAATTAATAAACGGAATTCTGGTGTTTCATGCCCACCTGCCACCCACCCCAAGACCCCAAGGAAGTGGGCTGGGCAGGGGGAGAGATAATTTAATTCTTTTTGCCTCTTGCTTATAACATCTGATGAGCTTTTAATTAATAATAGTAATGGTCCTTGAAAGATATTGTCATTCTCTGTGGAGTTTAGACTGCAGTCAACAATTTTTAAATGATAAATGGTGTTAATAGTGACTGAATTCCAGAAAATGGTTTATTTTGAGAAAAATTACCTGCTGAGTTTTCTTGCCAGCCATAGAATCACTATCATCTATGACGAAAACAATATTTTTGGGAAATGCGGGTTTTTCACTGGGTGCAAAATAATGCACAAAATATCCATTAGCAATCTGAAACAAAAAAGAGTTTTTGTTATATATGATCTACATGTACATATTTCAATACAACAGTGAATAAAGTAACTAAAACAAAATAATCTAGGAAATGTAATTCAGGGCACAGTCTTCAAGCCTGCTGGGAAACTGCTATGCTGGCATAATTTAGAGATATGAATACATGAAGCTGCCATATATTGAATCAGGCCATTGGTCTATCAAGGTCAGTATTGTCTAGACAGGCAGAGGTCTTTCAGATCACCTACTACCTGGTCCTTTCAACTGGACGTGCTGGGGAATGAATCTGGAACCTTCTCCATGCAAAGCAGATGTTCTGCCACTGAGTCATGGCCCCCAATCACTGCAATGCAATTTGGTTTTATGCTGGTATATCAGGAGTTACAGCCCCGCCAAAACTGTGCCAGAGTGGTATACATTGCCTGTGTGACCCTATCAGTGAGTGCATACACTTCAGTCAAAGTTGACTTATGGCAACCCCCTAGGGTTTCCAAAGCAAGTGATTAAGCAGAGGTGGATTGCCATTGCATTTCTCTGCAAAGTCTTCCCTGGTGGTCTCCCATCAAAGTACCAACCCTACTTAGCTTCTGAGATCTGACAAGATCAGGCTATAAACAACCCTACCAGTACATGGGATGAAACTGGTGGTGCTGAGGGCATGCCAGGGGAAGAGAGCACTTACTCAGTATTCTAAGTCCTCCTCAGCCTGTATTCCACCCACTGAAGAACTACAAAAACTGAACTGTTCATTTAAAAACTGTCAATTTAAAAAAATCTCTAAGAGAAAATTATGCAATTACAACATTTTCTAAGCAAATAAAAGCCCATTTTCACTAGCTGTCTAGACCCTTCAGTATGCTGAGTGTGTGAAATATTTAACACTAGGAAAAAGGTCCATTGTGGAAATAAATACAATGAGATCTAGAAAGAGGCTCTGGGTGGGTGCCCCAGCCTTGGACACTCAGTGTCAATTTGCTGTGGCGACCTCAGCAGGATATAATGACACTGAGTCCACCATTTTCTCCAAAAGAACTGATCTCTGCTACCTAAAGAACAGTTGTAATTTTGAGTTATCGCCAGCCCTCACCTGGAGATTGGCAATGATGGTTCCCCAGAAGGGAATAGTTGGTTTGGAGGGTGGAGTCTATGGCTTTGTACCTGTCCGGTCCCACGCCTCCTGAAACCTCACCCTCTCCAGGCTCCATCCCTCACCTCTCCAGGAATTTCCCACCTGGAGTTGGCAACCCTATCTCCTTCCCAGCCAACCATCAACCTACCTTTATTTCCCCCTCACTCTTCAGCTTTCCACCCCCCATACACCTGCAGCCTCTCCCGTGCTCTGAAGCCCTGACTGCTATGTCACATTGGCTGTCATATGGCGGCCACCTCAGCAGCATATAAGGATACAGAGTCCAACATTTTCTCCAGGGGAACTGATCTCTGCCATTCTGAGTGATCTCCAACCCTCACCTGGAGATCGGACACATTTTACCTCAGAATAGCAAACTGTTTAGAATGTTAGAGGCAAAAGCCAATCAAGTCGCATATGCAAACGACCTCTGTGTTCCGAGGCAGAGGCCAATGAGGCTGCATATGCAAATAACTTCTGTGTTCTGACTGGCTACGGGGGGGAGGGGAACAGCAAACTGTTTAGAATGTTGGAGGGGAGACTCAAGCAATGCAGCCAGTGGATAGGGACAGATTCTGAGTGACACACCAGGGCGCCAACCAATTCCGGAGCGTTTGGAATGTTCTAGAGAAGTGCCACCACCATTCGGCTTTTATATATAAGGGAGATTACTGCATAAAACTGCCTTTTCTGCACTTAGCCAAAAGAGGTCCGTCACTCTGGAATTGTTCATATTTACCTGTATATCTCCTGCAGTGACACTCCTTTTAACATCATAACGAATGAGAAAATCTCCATCTAGCAGAGTTTCTTCCAGCTCAGGTCTCTTTCTTTGTTGTGCTATTGTCTGTTTAAATTTGATATAAGCCTGAACATTAGACAGAGAAGCAAGTCAGTCAAGCTTACAAGAAGGACCACAGCTTCTGAAAAGTAGTGGAGTTCCAGGTGTAGCATAGTGAAATCAGCTCACATTTATTGATTACATTGGAACAAAAAGAGATAACTTAACCAGTGCAAGGCCTGCTTATATTCGTGCACACACTCACACCCAACACACCCCCAATTCCTGTGATAGGTTCTATATACATGGTCCTGGTAATGATAGGTTCTCATCAGGATCCTAGCACTCCCACTGGTTCTCGCTAGGATCCGCGGTGGCTATTGTTCTAGACCCGAAGGTCTGTGAGTCCGGTAGACTGCATGGCCCGGCGCACGCGGTCGCAGCCATCTTAATACATAACAGCTTCGGTATCAAGGCAGTTTTCCAGAATTTTGGTCCATGTTGTATACCTTGGTCTCCTCCTGCACCTTTGTGAGGGCATCACTTAGTTCATTGGTCAGAAAGGTGCTGTCAGTTTCCAGGAAACTTATGCCTTGGGGTTCAAAGATGCGGGTGACAATCTGAAGAGAAGAAAAGAAAACATGAGGGATATCTTCCAGTTGTGACACAGTGCCAGGTGGTTTCTGTTGGTGACAGAAGAATCTGCCAAGAACTGACCTGGAAGTCTTTCACAAGCTGTTTCGGCTTAACTTTAATCAGCAGTTCATACTTTCCTAGCTTTCGTTTTAGTAACTCCTCATAGGTCAGCTCAAAGGTAACTTTCCCAGCTGCTGCAACACTGACCGAAACATGAAACTGCTCTAGTTTCCTTCCGGTTGATCTGAAAATAAGAAAAATATTGTGTAGGCCTCACAGTGGAAACCGAATATTCAGAAGTAAAAAAAAATTACTGAGCAGGTTGTCTGGGCTTTCCCAGTCCAAGGCTGAGCCCACAACTCTTTTCTTCCATAACAAAAACTTCTGATTTTCAGCTCTCCCTTTTAGGCAACTTCCAGTCACTTCAAATACTAAGTTGTAATTTTAAAAAACCACGTTCCAGATGAATGGGAGAATTTGTGTGCGTGTGTGTGTGTATAATCAGGCCAGACCATTATTTCTCTTGGGTTTTTTCTGCAGCACTGTTATACTATATAATATCTCTCTCTCTCTGTGTATGCACAGGTACATTTATTTGATCTGCTATTAGAAGGGAATCAGGTGTGGTGGTGGGAAAGTCCTGTACCCCAGATCCTCAGTAAACAAGAAAATGGTGGTGGGGGGAGCACATGTCTTAGAAATGCAAGGTTCTGCAAATGGACTTCTTGCACTTTTAGGAGAGCCACAAAAGCCCTATAGCTCCTTGTTTCTCAGGTGATATTCCATCCATTCCAGGTCAGGGGATACAGTCAAGAGGTATTTTTAATCTTCCAGTGGTTGCATCAAAAACTTGGGCCAGACCTGCACTTTGAAGTTTTTGGCTTTTCTTTTTGATATAGTTTTGTGATCCATTTGGTCTCATCTGTGTTTTACTCTAGAATCACTTATGTTTGTTAAACATGCTATGGAGTACGAAGAGATTGGATTAAGTGTGGTCTAACATATGAGAAAAATAAATGTTAACCAAAAGAGCCCGAAAAGTTTTCACAGCTTATCGGACCAGTCTAGTACTTTGCACGCATGTAAAAGCATCATCATACCGGTCTTGGGCAGCTTTGTTTTTCTTTATTGCTCCAGGGTAAGTTTTTCCATCAATCGTCCTTCAAAACAAACAAATATTATGAACAGTGAAAGCAAATTTGGGACAGACTTTGAATTTAGGCCTTTTAGGACTAGGGTCTTCACCCTCCAGGTGGGACTTGGAGATCTCCTGCTATTACTATTGATCTCTAGTTGACCAAGATCAGTTCCCTTAGAGAAAATAACTGCCTTGGAGAGTTGAACTTTAGGGCATTAGACCTTGCTGAGGTCCCTCTCCTCCCCAAATCCACCCTCCTGGCTCCACCCGCCCCCAAATCTCCAGGAATTTCCCAACCTGGACCTGGCAACCCTACTTAGGACTCTTGCTGACGTTACGCTTGGAGGCAGGCAAGGAGAATATGGTCATATCAGGCTTTGAAGGTCATATCAGCAGAAAGGGAAAGAAACTGGTTCCCCTGCCGGCATCTGTGTGGAGGGAAATGTTCTGCCCTGGCCCCTCAGGACGCAGGAGGCATGAGGTCTGAAGAGCAGGCTGCTGAGACAGGGCACATCATGCAGCTCAGACAAATAGGGTGGATGCTAGGCTACTATGTAGGCCCAATTTATTCTCCTCATCAACTGTTCTGCTGCCATTGCACACGCAGGAGGGTTTATGGGAGGCTCCACAGCACAGAGTGACGTAGCTCTACTGGTTATCAGCACCCACAGCAATGTGGAGGAGCAGGGCTTAGTTCTTGCAGGAGCTCACTGGAGCGATGCTCCTGCAGTAAGGAGCCCAGCGGGTGGGCAAATGCAGCAATCCCCACCCCTCAGAAAACCTTGGCACTCAGCCAAACAAGTTGAGGCTGGCGGGGAAGGAGAACCAGCCTCGCCGAGGGACAGGTGGCTGAAGGCGGGAGGGCCACCGCCGCCAGGTCGCCTCCACCCCCCTTACCCCACCCTGCTCGAAATCTGCTGGGAAGCCGCTGCTCAGCTCGGCTGCCCCGCACACCCTGCCCCGCAGTCTGGCCCCGTCCCCTTCCTCTTTCCCGTCTCCCATGGCCAACCTCTGTACAGGGTGCCATAGGGAGGGAGAGAGCGCCTGTCCGAAGGCCTGCAGCCGCGGGGCCCTCCCCAGCTCCCAAGCAGCCAGCGATTGGTGGGGGCACAGCTAGGTCAGGAGGAGCTTCGCAGGCTCCCAAGCAGCTTCAGCGCAATCAAGGAGGTGCTTTCCTGCAGAGAGCAGAGCCTGGGCCAGGTGGGAGGGCTCGTCAGGGCGCTCCGAGGCAGCGGGAGGCAAGCAGCGGCTGGCAAGCCCAGCATCTAGACTGCCCCGTGGCCGCTGGGATGGCTGCTGTGCGGAGACTCCCGCCTGAACCCAAAGAGACTGTAGTCACGCCACTCTGAAGCACCCTCCTCTCCCCCGACTGTGCTGGGTCCTTCCTTCCTTCCTTGTTCTCTCTCTCTCTCCCCCTTCTTTCTTTCTCCCCCCTCTCTCCCTCCCTCCCTCCCTCCCATCTTTCTCTCCCTCCCTCTCTTTCTCCTTTCCAATCCAAAAGAGTCCAGTGGTGAGATGTACTAAAAGGAAGGACAGGATTGTCCATTGGAAACAATGTATAATATACTGGGTCCGATGCATAGTGTAATGAATCAGCTCTTAGTTTATTTCAGAAGAAAACACAGAAGCTGGCTCGCAGGCTGGCTTATATTTCCACAGCAAACCACACCCCACACACACCCCAACACCTGTGATAGGTTTATTTACAGTGCTAGTGCTCAACAGGTTCCGTCTTGGATCCTGCCTTCCGATTGGAGTGGCTAGGATCCGAGTGTATATTGTTCCTAAGAGTTAATCTCATGCTCATCCATGACCGCATGCGGACCTGGCTGCACACATGGTCGACTAGTACACAACACAATGGGAGAGACTTGAAGGCCCATTTGAAA